ACTTTCAAGATCTAAATTAACGATCTTTTACAACAAAAAATAAAAAGCAGGGTGTTGAGAGGCGTAGTGCACGTACTCTTTGGGCATCGATACTATTCAATTTTGGACATAATTATTTGTCATTTTATCCCAAATGTCACAGAGAGTTGCACACAAATGGTCTGAATAGGGAACAAAGACGCTTTTCTTCAGCTGTTGTTTCATGGTACTTAACTCTTCACATACTTGTAGAATTCATGTCGGGTTATTTAAAGGTGACCACTTCAGCGTTGATTTGATTCGGTTTTCCAAGAATTATCTTGTTGCATTGTGAGAAAGTTCTTTGCTATGCATGGAGATGTCCACCTAAATGACACCACGACGAAAATTCAGGTAAGACATGAAGTTTTAAGCTTTTGTGAGATATAATCCTCTAAACCAAGTCATCCGGTGATTCTCATAAAGACGGTTTTGTCCATTCCACCACAGAAAACCCAAAACCATGACAGTTTCGTGGCTTCTGTTCCTCACTAACAAATGATTATGTCCAAAATCTAACTTATTCAGTCCATGTGCAAAAAAAAAACAACCCCGGAAGCCATGAGCTTCTGAACAAAACTATTGCTAGTAAGCACATTTGTTTTGTGCGGTACTTGTAACTGCTCTGTTCTCCAATCTATTTGATAATATCATTAGAAAAAGCGGCTCATTGCAGAGACAATAATATTCTCTTTTCCTTTGGTATTCATTTCCTGTCCATTCCACCAATGTTGATGCACTTCAATATGTGACTGAATACACTTTTGCGTTTTCCTAATTTCGCACAATTTTGCGAAATCTGATTTTTTTACGATTTTGAGTGACCATTATCTCGAGAGTCTCGTAACATAAATGGAAATATTAGAGTGTCAGATGATGCAGAATTTATTCAACTTATGAGAGAGGTAGTGCAAGCCTATAACACGATGATTGGGTGAATACATTCTCAAGTTTCTTTTGGGCGCCACTGTATAACATTGTGTAGGATGTGACCATGGAGATTAAAAGTAGTTCTAAGCTCCTTGGATGTGATGCAGACTGGATCCAGCACGTCTTAACACAGAGTCCAGACTTTGAAGAAATTTGAAGGAAATAATGAGATCCGTAATGCACTAAATAGAAAAATTTATTTTCCATCATTGGTCTCAACAAAATTCTAGAAATTTTAAGGACAACTGATCTTGAAAGTAAAATATGAATTGTATTATTTTAAGGATGTAAAGAAGGGTGGGGGCAGCTCCCATGAACGAGAGGTATCGTGGATCGTAACCTGACAGCAACGAAAATGAATTCTCTAAAATTATCTCAATCTAATTCTTTTCCTGTCCTCAAGCTCTTTCCGTCATGTGCTTTCATCTCCTCTTCATAACAACCCCCACCCCCACCCACCCACCCATCCTCGACCCTCCTCTGTTCTTCTCGCTTTCTTACTCCTGAATCTTTCACTGCTACCATGAGTACTTTCTCTTTCTTACAGGTGTGTTTCAGCCACATCCCTGAACTTAGTGTAAGTAAGCTCGAACTACTAGCCTTCTCGGATAAGGGGCAAAAATCTCAGGGTTCGCGTGTGCAAGTTGTGTAAGCTAAAGATCCGTTGGCTGTCCAAGAATTGAAAAGAACTGGCTTTGCCGCCACCCAGGCGAAATTCAAAATTAACTTCCTACCAAAACTGAAATTATTCTAGTCAGTATACCTCCGAAATCGGAATGTGGCTGCTTGAAGAGAAGGGGCTCTACGACGTAAGAAAAATGGTCACATACGTAAGACTCAGTTGCACTGCAGGTTAAAGAACCAGCAGTTGACTACACCTGAGATCTAGGAGGGGAACGCAAGGAATAAGAAAGAAATATATATATATATTGCTGCTTTTAATACATTCTTCATGTATTATAGATACTTCAACTATTCCGACTGCATCAATTTGAAGCTTTTGTACTCCATCGTTAATCCCAATAAAATTCCCGAATGTATAAGGTCAACAGGTCTTTACAGTTAGTAAAATGTAAATTGTGTTATTTCAAAAATGTAAATTGCTTCTTTCAAATCATATTTTTCCATGTATGTATAGATACTCAAACAATTCCCACTTTAAAAAAATAAAACCAAGACATGCTGCTAATTAACGTGGAAACCATCCACTTGAGCCCAGTGCCTTGATAATTTTTACGACCTCTTTGCAGATGCAAGGACCGTAAAATTAATTCTTACCAAACGCATTAATACAATTTACTAATCTTAGGACTTGGATAATCTCAGGACTTAGATAAATAAGGGACATTGATAAAAGTAAAATTGTTAGAGGTGTCCAGTTTTCATAAACAAAGATTCAATTTTGGCCTCAAATGTGCACCCCACCGTAACCACCTGGTCTATGAAATTGTTCGCTTTTGATTGTTTGTTTTGTTTGTAGTTTGTTTGTTTGTTTGGGGTTTTTTTTTTTTGTTTTTCTCTCTCTCTCTCTCTCTCTCTCTCTCTCTCTCTCTCTCTCTCTCTCTCTCTCTCTCTCTCTCTCTCTCTCTCTCTCTCTCTCTGTTTTTGCTTTGTTTGTTTATTTGTTTGCTTGTAGGTGTTGTTGTTGTGGTTTTTTGGTCCGGGGGGGGGGGGGGTGTATTTTCTACAAACCCCAAGCCATTACTCTGCCTCAAAGAAAGCCTTCGTGAGCGCACCATGAGAGCTAACAGACTGCCTGTTCTAATACAAGTACCGTTGAAATACTGAAGCCGAGAAAGGCGCTAGCAAGCTGCTCAGATTCACAAGTGAAAATGAAGTTCAAATGGTCAAAATGTGGCAAACCATTGTCTTTCAAAAGTGGTCACTTTTGCAACAGCAGAATCCACAAGTCATTGCAACAGGTGAAGAAAATAAGAGATGTATCACGACGCGGTAGAATCAGACACTTGTCAATTTTGGGGCATGTTGTGCAATTGGTATCATCTTAATGATCATTTGTCTTGCTTTGAATGAAAAAAAAACTTTCCTTAAATCTTGAATAGAAATAAATATGTATTGAGATTGAAGGAGGTTGAGGTCTATACGTTTCAATGGGGAAATGAGCCAGAAAATGGCCGTAATTAGTCAGGGGACTTCTAAAGCTTTAGAGTTCTTGGAAACTCTAAATTTGTGTGTGCCTTTAATCAACGTTTTACTGTAAAACCCACACACAAATGTGTTTTTAACATGGTCATAAAAGGTGTTGCACACAAAACAAAAATAATTCTACTAAACAATACCACTTGGTCTGAAAATGCCGGTTTCTTCAATTTCATTATTTTGACGTTCGCCTCATTTCAAAACGCTCTCTCACAGATATTCTCTTCAGATGCGTTGGCCATCGCCAAACTTTGACGGACGGACTATCACTGTTGTAATCATTCTTTGTTATCATTACAATTAGGACTGTACTATAGTGCGGTCAAAAATTCGTGGTGCAACTTGTTGACAAATATTTCCTAAACTATCAAACACACCACAGACTCTTCAGCATGTGCACCATGATTTGTATCAATTTGTCTTAACATCAATAATTCTATAAATTAATGCATGTCAGCTGAATTCAAGAAAATTCTTTAAATAAGTAGGGCTTCTAATAAGAAAATCAAAGTGAATGGTCTCTTCACATTTTAAAAGGTATACAGCTTTGGTAATATCGCGTTTAAAAGCATGTCCTTCATTTTTTTCTATATTTGTGGCATTGTGCTTATGGAACGCAAGTTTTTAGAACCTTTAGTAATTGAAAAGTGTTCACTATAAAATTAGTTTAATTTCTTGTAACAAGTTCTGCCAATAAAGAGTGCCATTGGTGAGCTATGACGTGGCCCGTGTGTGCAAAAATGTGTGTGAGACGCTGAAAATGCTATGAACAATTCTATTTTCTGAGTGACGGCGATATACAGTATTTTATATAAATTTATGAAGAAAAGTTGTGGGTTTTTTTAATATGGCATCAATTATTGTGGAAAAATATTGTTAAGTTTAGGAAAACTGGCTGTGCAAAGTGTGGATGACAATGATTCACTGGTTAAAGAGACTTGAGGATAAGTTGCGCCACGAATTTTTGACAGCACTATAATTCTATTTCTCTCTGTTTTTTCACGACTGCTGTTCTGTTTGTTCTTGTCATTCAAAGTATAGGAACGTTAATTTTTAAAATAAAATAAAAACAAAGCAGTGAATGAAAAGACACATATGAAAAGTTAAAGAACAGGTAATTGATAAGCATCAACTTTTTTGGCTTATACTGCTTATATTTTTGTGCATTTGCAAAGTTTTGTATTATATGGGCACATTTGTGTTTGAGCGTGTGTGTGTATGTGTGTGAGTGTATGTGTGTGTGTGTGTGTGAGCGTGTGTGTGTGTGTGTGAGAGAGAGAGTGTATGTGTGTGTGTGTCTGAGAGAGAGAGAGAGAGAGAGAGAGAGAGAGAGAGAGAGAGAGAGAGAGAGAGAGAGAGACACACACACAGAGAAAGGGAAAGAGAGAGGGAGGGAGCGCTAGAAGGGAGAGAGAGAGGGGGAGAGAGAGAGGGAGGGAGAGCTAGAAGGGAGAGAGAGAGAGGAG